ACATACATACATACATACATACATACATACATACTAGGGCTGTGCGATTATGGCAAAAAATCATAATCACGATTATTTTGGTCAATAATTGATATCAAAATTATTAAAAACGATTATCCATTTACTTTGAAAACATCAATTTATTGAAAAGAAATTTGAACAGTATGTTTAAATAAAAAATAATAATCGTTTTATTTCGATTACGTTGTTTTCGTAATCGTTGCAAGCCAAAATCGTAATCGAGATTAAAATACGATTAATTGCACAGCCCTCATACAGTACATACACACACACATGGCCGTATCCACAATTATTTTTTTTCGAGCTGTGTATTTAACGGGGTATTTTATAGTACTTCCATTTACTGCCGAAGGGTGTTGCTGCATAACTACGTAGCCTCGATTAAAGCAAACGACATGTATCAACAAACTACCGCAGCCCGGACTTGAACCGGAGCAGCGGAGGAGTGATGAGGTATCTAGAGATCTGAGTCCAGCGGGCTGCTTGTGCTTCTGTTCTCCAGGGAGGAGAGCTCCAGAGGCTAAACTTTGGTTTAAATTGCGTGAATAAAGTAGCTCGAGAGCTATAGTTAATTACATTCATCCAAAGTCAGAAGGATTACCTTTTAACACACGTTGTAATGCTTTTCTTTCATTTCAATTTGAGTAAACATTGTATTGTTTTCTTTTTACACTGACTCAGATATAATGAAAATACTTCGTCAGTCGAAGCTCGGCTTTGGTAAGGACGAGACAGGACAGGCAGAGAGAAAGAGAAAGTAATGGAAGTCAGGAGGAACTGCAGGTACAGTCACACAAAAGAATGTAGGCTTAATAACCCCATCTATCTATCTATCTATATATCTATAACAATAGTCTTCATTAACAATAGATATCATTTTTAAACAACATACATCTATTGCAGTTATGATGTCATAATAACATACAATTGTATAAAACACAATTTGCTTACTTCTTTGTTCTCTTCTGAGAATCAAACAAAACTGATTTAAATAAAAAAAGTAATGCAAACAAACAAGTGAAATGAACTAAATGGCTGAATTGCTTTTGATTCACTGGCAGGAGCGACAAGCAGCCAGAGCAAAAAGTGAACAACGAGGGAGAGATTGAACAAAGAGAAAGAGTAGAGGACAGGAAGAAGACAGAGAGACTAAAGAAGGTGGAAGAGAGGCTGCAGGTTATGGAAAGGAGAGAGACATGGAAAATGAATGTTGACAATGTTTTGTGATCATTTTAGCTCTTCTGCATGTCCAGATCATTAATAGCAACAATCAACTGATTATTATGTATTACACTTTCAAAAATAATTTATGCTGACATTGTCAGCCCACTGACATGGTTTGAAATCAATATATTATCCAATTTGTGACCCCCCACAGGACTTAAAAAGCACCTAACTAGATCATTACAATCCCAAGAATCTCGGGGGGTATCCCCCAAACCCCTCTAGCATCTTTGGACCTCGGTATTTAGGAAATCCTGGATACGGCCCTGCACACACACACACACACACACACACACACACACACACACACACACACACACACACACACACACACACACACACACACACACACAATACAATTATTACAATAATACACACAAATAATACAATTATTACAATAATACATTTGGTTTACAGTTGCTTGTTTGTGGAGAGTGTGTAATGTAATATATCTTGGCCAGGTCACTCTTGAAAAATATATTTGAATCTCAATGAGACTTTTTACCTGGTTAAATAAAGGATATATATAAAAAATTACACTAATGTCTGACGTAAATGTAACACAATTTATAAGATTTAAAAAGTAGCTTGCCTTGCAAATTTGTTTTTGTCCTAATTTAAATCATTCAAACTGCCAGTACATATTGTCAGTAGAGCACTGAGAAGAGGACAGTTGGTGTTCATTTTGCCTGTATCTCTGCAGTGATGATCACCAGTGTTTTGAGGAAATGACATCATTAGTGATGATATTGATAATGAAACCACCTTCCTCTTACCATCTGATATGTGTGATTGAACAGATTATTGCGGTTGTGCTCTTCAAATCGTGCGCTTTCAACTTGTTTATCAGTGGCATCCTCTTTCTGTGGCCTCACTCACTCTCACGCAACAGAATACAAATGTTTCACATCAACCAACGGAGGAAGTATTAATGATAAATGGCATTCTGAAAAATGAAATACTAATTTAGCAGACAGTTTTGATAAGAGAATCACCCAGGTCCTACCGCTTCAATAAATAGATATACCTGCAATAATTTAAAATAGATTATGGCCTCGGTTTCTTTCGGTATTTCGGAGGTGGAACATCTTCTGTGTTATGTGTTTTGTGTGGGCAAGATATTTGTTGTACACATACAAACTAATTGTGAAGGTCAAGACATGCGTGGTTGTTGAAACTGACACAGATGTGATGATTCAGTATTATAAGAACTTAATCATTATGTGAAGTTTGATCACAGTTCATTCATATTAATGGCCACCACTGATCCTTTGCTGAGCCAGTTTGTTGAGTATCTAACAAATGTTTTCATTTGTCTTCCAATACAATATCACATTTCCAGTTTTGTTATTGATCCACTTCTTCAGGCACCATCTGTTGATCTCACATTTCCTTTGATCCCTTTATCGAAGTTGTTTTACTTTTGGTGTTTTTACTACACATTTGTAATTATTTTTCTCTCTCCTCTCGCAGGTTGCTTTGCTATTCCGCCACCAGTGAGACATTATGCTCGTGTTGCAAAGAAAAAGCAGACCGGTAGGAAGCTGCGTTTTCAACACACCATGATTTGTCATTTTAAAATGGTCGCTCTCTTTTCATCCGAACATTTTGTTTTCCTTTAGGCCCTGAGAGCCAGCTCAGTGATCTTCCTCCAACAATGCTGAAGAGTGGCTATGCAGCCGTTCCCCTCTCGCAAACGTAAACACACATTTATGCAGTACCTTGAATTAAATCAGTAAAGAATAATAAAATGTATATTCAAAATTCACAAAAAATCTACATTCTTGTATTTATTCTAATAAAAGTGTTTTTTTCAATCAACAGGACTGATGATCTTGTCAAAAGACTTCTGTCATTGGAGATGGCGTGCCATGTAAGTTCTAATGGCCCCAAAAATGGCATCATCATGTTTCACTCTGCTTTCTTGTTTTTCCGTTGATATCAACAATATCAATTACTTTGATATTATGTGTTCATGTCTTTTAGAGTGACAAGCTCCAGCTGAAAAAGGAACAGCTGATTGCTAAAGTCCAGAGGGATGAGAATGACTACACCTCAGTGGAAGTCCGGGGTGAGTTTCTCCAATGCTGTTCATAGTGTGTTCGCTGAAAAACAGGCGAAGGATGTAGAGATTTGAACTGTATTTGTGACCCGCTCTATCGAAATCAGTCAGAAGTCGCAACGGCTCATTTCAAAATAAACGTGGATTTGCATAAAAAAATATTTTTTCGGGGTTCGGGTGCTTTGTTTGATTTTAAACAAACAAAGTCTTGGCTTTCAGAATATGAAACTTTTATTTCCAAAATCACACGATAAATACATTTTNATTTGCCTATAAATAGTCAAAGAAACGTCCTTTCATTCATTCATTTTGACTGACTTTATGAAGAAGATAGCAGGAAATGACGACAGAACAGCTAAAAAAGACATCTCACACCGTGTCAGATTTTGGTTATTTTGCGGAGGTCGAGATAAATCATATTGTTTGGTGGATGCAGTTTGAACCAGAGTAGCAGCATGGAGGTCGGATCGTCACCAAAATAAATAAATAAGTGGTCCGAAAAAGGTTAATGACAAAAAAAATACACATAGCCTAACCTTCCTCAGGCAGTGTGTTTGTACAGGGGACAGGAGACCCCCCTTGATACGGGTAGAATTGTAAGTTACTTTTCACAACAAGTCAGTATCCCTCCGCGTCTGAGAAAAACAGTATACCGTTGGGCTGAAAAGCAAACTGCCTGCAGTTAGCTTTTCATACTGGAACAAGAAAGCAGCGTCGGGCCGAACCACGCCCCTTAGCTGTGATATAATGAGCATATACCACGGCCTGTCGTGAGCTATTGCTTAAATAATCCACCAGTTAAAGGAAATACAACTAATGTGTTGTGTTATATTAGCTGTACAATTTACCACATATGGTGCTCTTAGTTTCCATACCTCCTGTGTTTTACGAGCAACTTATCAAGTAGGCGGCGAATGGCATAAAACATGATTAAACATGATTGTATATAAACCATTCTCGTATCTACAACCTATAGAAATGCAAAACGGCTTCAGTTTAGACGTAATTCTGTCCTCCTGCTTACCGCATCATTCTATGAGAAAACATTTCATAACATTAACACAACATATTCGAGGTGGTTTTAAATAACATATCCGTATTTATTTATTTCTCTTTATGTTTTTGTGTGCACTGAGGAGTCTCAAACAGGCGTTTGTTAAATCATTTTAAGATTGGCTTTAATCAATGTTTGAAAATGAATTCTTCATATATGATAAATGAGAGTTAACATTTTATTTATGGTATTATTTCCACATATTTCTCTCCATTCTTCCTTCTGCCAACGGTGTCGCAGTTTCTCGTCTCTCCCGTTTTTGTGCTTAGTGCGTTGCATTAGTTAGAGTTTGCGTGGAGGACCGCACGTTTTCCCGTCAAGTTAGTATTTTATAAATCGCAAACATTGTGTAGAAACTGCTGTACGCAATTTTTTGAGCATATATCCCTTTATAAATGAGGTCCCTGGTCTCCCCTCCCTCTGACCCCCTCCCCCCACGGGAACTCCACCTTTCTCAGAGGAATATGTACACTAACACTTGAACCTGAACACACACACTTGTGCAATATGTGGTGTAATGTGTTTTGGGGCCATAGAATAAAATTACAACAGGATTGTACGGCTATGAATGCATAATAAGTTAGTTATGATGTAGTTAAAACAATATTGGATGATAGTCATTTATTTGTTGTGTTTTGGACTGAATATATTATGGGTCAAAATTGACCCGCGAACACCATGAACGGTAACAGCTTTCGAACACAACACAAAGGTTAAAGAAATATTGAATATTTAGTGGATTTTGAGTTTATGAAATACTGACAACTTTCACCAAATGAAGCCAGTGAGAGTCTTGTAATGAGGAAAAGAGGAAGGAAATAACCCTGTGCAATAATCACAACTAAGACCTGTGATGGGTGTGTCAAGTACACCATATTTCAGTGTCACAATGTTGACTGTATGGTCAAAATCCACAAATGTTACAAAAACAATGGTTAAGGAAGGGTTTGTCTTCATCGAAAACAAGACAATCCATTTTTTAAATCAAACAATGTTGTACAAAATGTTCCATGCTTGAATGTAATGAATCATGTTGTGAGTGATTGAATAACGCAGTTTATTTACAGCAATGCAGATTAGTATACAGGCAATTAGTTACACAGTTAGACAGGCACATAAGGCTAGAAAATGACATTTAATACACAGATTTGCATAATTCATTAGCTCAATCTTTGTTCACTGCATGAAAAAGCCAGGCTTGCTACGGCAATTACAAGACGTTACTTTCACAATAGCTGAACATCATTAATCAGCAGAAAATACTGTTTAGTGGACCAGAATCGTTTTTATGTCTTCTCGAGATTACACTTCTCCATTCCTGATGCGGATTTCACGCGCCATCCTGCAAACCTCAAAGGTTCCGCAGCAACAGGTCATCAAGGCATCGTTGATTATTGTTCCCTGTGGTGAGAAGATTGCAACAAAATCAGAACACGGAACCAAAACCCACTGCGAGGAAATGCACCAATGTTCAGTTTTCTCAATTGAAGGAAACACCTAACATTTCCTAAGTTAATGCAATCTCTGTCTTTCATCAGAGCTATTGAAATGCAGTCTTCTTACAGCACCACCGAAAATACAAGGGTGTTATTTGAGTTTATAATTTGATAATATAAGTAACTGACCTGTATGCCATAAGTGAGTCTCATGTGAGTCCTCATGGCTGTTGAGCCTCCTGGCAGACAACCCAAACAGCAGTTTTCTCCATACTTATGAGCAGTGTAGCAGCTCAAGGCAATTGGACAGCAGCAACCAATAGCACCTGCACAAAGATGGGTATTTCAGTGTGAGTTTTTAAAAAGAAAAAACATGAAAGTGTGCCTTTAGTGTATAGAGAAAAATGTATAATGTCAGATTTCTTAAGTGGTACTCACAGACTAACAAGTCGCTGAAGCAGGAGCAGAGGCCGGTGCTCCACTCCCCCGTTTGGACGTTCGTTCCGTAGCTGCCTGCAGCCGGTTGGGTGACCACTGGGCTTGACATGTTGGATTACTGGATCTGCTTGTTGTTTCCAATAAAGCTATCTAAAAGTTAAGTGAAACAGTTAGCACTGGATAGCATAATAGTTTGTGTTGTAGGATGAAAAGCTATGGGAGAATGTACCTTAATAACACTTTCCATGTAAATCTACAACTGTTTCTATACTTTTTTTACATATACAGTACTGCAATGCCATGCCTTTTCAGTAAAGGAAATCTCATGTTGAAAGGAATAATTCAGAGCTATGACTAAATATATTCTTAAGCTCTTCGTTGGAGCATAACTGAAGAAAGAGTTCATGCATTATTCACACTCAATAGCTTAATCAGAATTCATGATTTCCATGCAACGCATATTATGTATCAACAACATTTAATAGAGTTATTTCCTAACACCGAATGAGACTTAATATTGTTGGCTTTTGCCATTTTCACACTTATTAATTGAAAGATGATGGCTTTAAGTGTGAAATACAAATATTCTCATAACAGTAACTCTAACTATAACATACAAACGGCGTGAAAATAAATGTGTTACTTTAAGAACAGTTCATAAGTTATCTTGTTTCAGTGCCGTCAGCATGAGTTTAACATGATTGCACGAAAGTCAAACATTTAAAAGATATTGAAATATGTTTTATTAACAAATTCATCTTAATAGTGAATTCTTAAGTTAATAATCTCCTGCGAGAGGAGAAAAGCTGTCACTTACCAGAAGATTCGGTCGGTGTGCTCTAAGTCTGATCAGGCTGACAAGCTGCACACCGCACACAGGAAGCAGTGACGAGCTCGAGCTGCGAAATGCTGGTATGTCAAATCAAACGGCTGTTTCTGAGGATGACAAAGATCTGCAGACAAACTAAGACTATTAGAACTGCAGCTTTGCTTTGAGGCTGATGGTCTGTATACTCACAGATATATACAGATCACTGGAACAGGTATCTTTTAGGGAGTGAAGGCTTCTAATGAAATACTTTCCAAATCTCACATTAGATCACCTCAGTTTAGAGAATTCATGCAGTTATCAGAATTTCACGCCATCATATAACAACCACAAATGCATCACGTCTGTGTTGTCTGTCATACAACTTGAGGTTTAATCTACGAACTGTGTCACTACTGAGTTTCACAGGATGTGAACAAGTACAAAACTATGTTAAGCTAAAAAAAACGTGCTTTCAGATTGACTCAAACCCTATAAGGGAATCAATCAAAATGTTAATATCGAGGTCCCTGTTATATGCTCACAGAGCTGCTCTTGTTAGTATTCCAAGACATAGATGTAATATCATTTGACTTAAAGAGACAATGGAATATCCATACAGCGCAGTCATCAGGTAGTGATGATATCTCTGAAATTAAAAAGGTTTTCCACCACATTGGAAGTGAAATTGAATGTCTATGTGATTAATTACTCAGACCATAGTTTAAGGTCATGTTGTACTTGATCACATAACCACAGGATACGTTTGGTATTTGGGCGAAACAAGAGACACTTCAATACATCTTGTACTCAATAAAAAAGACAACATTCTCAAAGGACTTATTTAGTGTGCCATTTATGGAGTGGATAAACTATTTTTCTAGTTATATTATTTCTAGATATTTCATCTTCTAACACTTGACCTCAATCAGTGTTTAAAAAGGGCAAATCACAAGTTACTAAAGGGCATATTGTCATAAAGACAAACAGTACTTAACGGTGAAAAGTATTAATATTGACAGTCTTTATTTAAAATTCTGCAATGACTTCTTGGAGACATATCTAAGGGATTATTTGTTTGATGAATGATGAAACACAGATAGTTTTGCTTTTAAGAGCTGATAGAAGAATACAAGTTCTGACATCATGGCCAGACATGCAAAAGGGTAAGGGGATAGTTAGTGGAAATGTTCAGCCCAGAGAGCAGCACAACTTTCAGAGATGTGGTGTTTGGTTGCCGGCTATATTAGAAACAATAACTGTACAATTTAATATTATGGGTTATTTGGTGGTTATTTGACTTCCCTTCATTTATGTCAGAAGTGTGGGCTCATTTCTTTTGTGCAGCTAAATATATTTAATCTAATTGATAGTCATATTTTAGTAGAAACACCATTTTTAAATACACATTTCTGGGACATTTTATTTCCATTGTATTCTGACATCAACATGAAAGCAATTAAAGGAAAACATATTGTATGACAGTGATACATGAAAAAGGACTTCCAATCCAAATGCTTTACATCAGATGGTGTTAATGTAACTTTGTTGGTTAACAAGCATTTAGAATCATTTGTATTATACAGAACATTTTTGTTTATGGGGTCTAAACAGATGCAGTCTTGGCTGCCTTGGGGTCTGCGGGGGCTAAACTCTGCATCATCAGCCTCTGCTTCGCTTTCTGCTTCTGCACTTCCTGGAAGACCTGTGAAGAAACATGACGAAGTGTCAGTGGAAACACGAAATAACACCTTCAACGTGTGAGTCAGTTTGACACGGAAAGCTCGGGCGATGCTCTCAGAGACAAGATGCACAATTATTACACAAGTGGGAATATAAGTCTAGTTTAGGGTCTTTAGATATTTACTCCAATAGAGACCATAATTGTACACTTACAAATACACATTTTCTTTGATCATGAATATAAAATATAGACAATAACAGAATAATGCGGATTTGTTTGATACCTTAATGCAGAGGGCCTTCTTAGCCAGCCAGCGGTGAGTGACCCTCCTGTAGTACTCGGGGGGGAAACTGTAGGTGATGCCCAGCTGCTCGCACACCTTCTCAAAAGCATCGTAGTTAACCAACCTCAGGTTTTTCAATAGCTTTTTCCTCCGATCAATATCCATGAGCATCCGCCTCTTGTTAGATTTGTCCTTGAATCAAATAACACATAGAACATTGGGCTTGGTGATTCGAAGAAGCTAGAATTTCAGGTAGTACTTAATTCCAGATGAAACTGAGATACCGTTCAACTAAAACTCTATTTAATCTTTGTGTACATTTAACCAATGTTTTACGTATGATGTAACATGGAAATTTCCAACCATGGCTATACTAGGCATGTTCTCATTTGGTGTGGGGGAGTACACAGGATATCCTGTTGCACACACACACCTCAAACCAAAGGAAATGTGGAGACATATTAGCAGAAGTTTTTGTGGTGAAACCAACGTAAGATATCGTACGTCACCTAAGAACAAGCCTTTCCTGTTTAGCGTGCGAGCGAGGGAGGAAAAAAGAATGTTAAATGATGCTGATGTTACTCACCTTGTTGTGTTTTTGCAAATGCTCCTGGAAGTTTCGGATTTTGGCAGTCAAAATAGCCACTGAGGGAAAAGACATAGAAAGGGAGACTGAATCAATATGTGACCTGCTCCTTCGAAATCAGTCGCATGGACCGGAAGACACATTTTGAGTTGTATACATTGCTGGAAAGAAGAGATTCATAAGTGCTATACAATGGTTGTTTTCTTGTCACTGCATTTTGTCATTCATTGATTATGAACTATTAATGTGAATACATTGTAAATAGAGTTCATACATTAACATAATTCTTTATTAGTAACGTGCATAATGCAGGGTAAATACCAACACATTCTCACTCCCAACTCGTACTTCTAATTTTGCATGGAATCCATCGATCTGATTGATTAGCGGAGCAAATGATCAAAATAGTATGGAGGGAAGATATTTTCGTTTGGATTACTGGTCTGGGGGAAGCTCGTGAGTGTGTGTATATATGTGTGCGTGTTTGTGTATTTTTGCGTTTGTGTATTTTCCCGGGGAAAACACTCATGAGGAACACCGGCTGTTGTTATGCCTGCTGTGACCTCAAGTTACTCCGTTCTCCGCCTGTAATTATGCCGTTACAAGCTTCAAAGTTGTATTTATCATCTGAATTTGCCGAAACAAGTTTAATATTCTGAAAGCCAAGACTTTGTTTGATTGAAATCAGATGAAAACAAACTGTAACGGACCCTGCCGTGTTATCTATGATTACTGTACGCCTTACATTCATAATTTCAGCGGAGGGAACAGCAGAGTGGCGAGTGAGAGCTGTCTTCTTCCCTTTACAAGCTTCAAAAATGTGTGATTTTGGAAATAAAAGTGTCATATTCTGAAAGCCAAGACTGTGTTTATTTAAAATAAATAAATAAAACAAATACAAATTGAATTTTTTTTTTTGAATTTCTTTATTGGCACATGATAGGCCCCCGATCTCCGTAGGTCCCTGGGCTTCAGCCCAGGTCAGCCCGTGCATTAAGGCGGCCCTGGCGGGTGCGCGGTGGGAGACGTCTTCTGCATGATGCTCTCAGGAACAAGTCATGAGACCTGATGGNATGGGCGTTTCTTTGACTATTTATAGGCAAATATGGGCGTTACGTGAAGCGCCTTGCGTAGGATTCACGTGGGAAGGTTGCTTACGTAGGACTATTGCGGGCTTCACGTAACGCCCATATTTGCCTATAAATAGTCAAAGAAACGCCCATTCATTCATTCATTTTGACTGACTGCATGAAGAAGATCGCAGGAAATGACGACAGAACAGCTAAAAAAGACATCTCACACCGTGTCAGATTTTGGTTATTTTGGGGAGGTCGAGATAAATCATATTGTTTGGTGGAGTTTGAACCAGAGTAGCAGCATGGAGGTCGGATCGTCACCAAAATAAATAAATAAGTGGTCCAATAAAGTCTAATGACAAAATAAATACACAGCCTTCCTCAGGCAGTGTGTTTGTACCGGGGACAGGAGACACCCCCTTGATGAGAAACTCTAAGAAATGATCGGGGAATCCCTCCGGAGTGGAGTCATGACNGACACTACATACTGATATACACCTGGGGCCTCATTTATAACGCTGTGCGTAGGATTCACGTGGGAAGGTTGCTTACGTAGTAGAAATCCAAAAAATAGGACCTATTTTTTGGATTTCTACTACGTAAGCAACCTTCCCACGTGAATCCTACGCACAGCGTTATAAATGAGGCCCCAGGTGTATATCAGTATGTAGTGTCTCTACTTTAAAGAGTCCTCTCCTGCTCATCTTCAGGTGTATATCAGTATGTAGTGTCTCTACTTTAANTCTCCATTCTTTAATGTTCAAACAGCTCTTTATTTTTCTCATACTGCCTGTGCTGCAGCACCTCTTTTCACCCTCTGTCTGAAGCTGCGGCCCCACGAGGACGAAACGGGTTGTATCTGCATAAGGCGCGTTCACACCAGGTTCACACCAAGTACTTTCCCCACAAAGGTTCCTGAGAACTCTTTAGTTCTAAGTACAGATCGCGTTCACACCGGAAATTAGTTCCGGGGGTGGATTAGGCAAACGAAGCCGCTGACGTCACTT